TTTTTTTTTTTTTTTGTATTCTACATGATAACTCAAAGTTTACAAATCTGAGTTGGGTATATAAGCACAGGTCTTCAGATTTAGAAGCTTTTCTTCGGGTGTTTCCATCCTGTCATACTCTGAAAGGGTTAAGATGAGTAAGAGTAAAGGTTACATTTGGATGTGAAGGTGATGAACAACCCATGTTCTGCCTTGAAATCCTCCAATGATACTTTCCACAAGAGATTTCCTCCAGTGTATTTAGCTGACCTCTGTTCTGAGAGTTCACTTGTGAAAGTGCTAAGTTATGCACAAGAGGCTAATATTGACACAAAGCTGATTATACTGTCTAGAAATCAGACTGGTGGGCAGAACACAGTGACAGAAGCAAAGGATATGCTGTATGAGTCATCACTGCTTCATATCATGTTATATAGAGCACATGTGTAGTGCTGTATGAGATGAAGCCTGTACCTAGATCACATCATTTGCCCGCCAGTTCTGTTCTCATGGATTTATTCCGAATTACATGGAGTTTGCAACAGCCCTTTCCACAAAAAAAAACATCACAACCTGGAAATTGTCCCTCTTTCCTGTAAAAATGAGCCTGTGAGTCAGACACAGGACTCTGATCAGCCTCAGAAATAAAACATCTCTCAAATTAAACAGCACACTCTCTTGCAGTGCCATAACGTTCTAATAATTGTCAGGAAAGGCTCTCAGCTTGCCAGGAAGCCTCAGGAAAACAGAGACTTACAAAGCCTTCCATTTAAAAGTACAAAAAATGCCATTTCAAGGCATAACAAGGGAACAACTTTAACTGTTCCAAAATACCTCTCAACCCACTCCCATCACATACACCCCAGCACACTCAGCCAAGTGAAAGCTGAGAGAGGCTATGGTGCACAACTCACTTGTAGTTTTTTTAGTCTTGAATAAAACATCCTTACCAAATAACGTCCTCCAAGAGACATTCCTTTTGCTGAAAAGTAGCATCCCTATTCTGGGTAACCTCTGTTTGTTTCCAACCATGCATTTCAGCAGGAGCAATTGAAGGAATGACAGAGAAATGCAATTTCTGTGAATAACTCAGGTTTTGCAAAGGGTCTGATGGTGTGTAATGGTTTGCTGTAGGAAGGGGAGAGCCATTGACAGTGTCTCAAACTCAACAGTAGTTAATCTTTGGCATTCACAAAATTGTTTTTAGCTGCCTGGACAGCAACAATAAGATTTGGTAGTGGAAGAATTCATTTTGATTGCCTGGGAAAGGGGTGTTTCTGCATGGGGAAAGCTGTATTCTCATCCCTTCTTTCTGAACATCTAAACCCTGATGCAAGGAGGTACTTCAGCACTTCCCTGTTAAAGTTAGCCACGAAGTCAAGTAGTGTCTGGATGGATCATGGTGTCCCTCCAATTGCTCTAAGGCCAAGTGCTGCAAACATCTACAGGAGATCATGGGGCTGGTCTAGGGAGAGACTCCGGGCAGGCAAGTGCTGCCTTCTGCAGAGACATGGCAGGTTGTGGTTCTGCCACTGTCAAAAACCTCCTGTCAGAGCAGAAGCAGATGCAAACCTCACCACTTCTGCCCTGCGAGTCCTGGCTGAACCTTCCCATGGCTGGGCTATGGACATGCTCCCAATTGGACAAACAAAGGAGCAAGGAAATGAAGCACTGTGCTTTCCTCAACCCCTCAGGATGGAAAAGGGGAAACTGGACCCAAAGTAACAGATGTTTGTCACCTGTGGCTACAGTGGGAGACACTCAGAGTTGGAACCAGATGATCTTAAGGTCCTTTCCAACCCAAACCCATTCTATGATTCTATGACAGCTATGAAGATGGCACAAGGATCTGTGTGAAATACGATTGCATGCTGTGGTGGGTAACTTCTTCCAGGCAGACAGGGCTGCCTTCACAGCACTCTGTGAGCATGTAACATAGCAGGCTGTAAGGTACTTTGGCATTTTGGAGCTAATATGCGTGCAGCACCTCAGAATCACGCAGTACAGGTTCATGTTTCAGCTTAGCAAGAGCACAGCTCCTTAGGAAAATAATGAAAAAGAAGAGACAGTGTTGAGACAGGATAAATAAGGAGATAAATCACTTTGCAATACAATGCAAGCCAAAACCTGAAAATAAACAATTACTTTAAATCATATCGCAAACATCACATTTATACAATTGATCCACGTGTAAATTAGCCAATTAATTCTGAATTGGAACACTAATGAAATAATAATTATCTGTTTGTAATGGAATGGTACGACAAACAGAAATAAAGAAAGACTGCAGCAAAAATCCACCCAGCTCCATCACCACTGGGCATGGGGGGTGGTCAATACCAGTCTTTAATGTCTGGATATTGCTGGGGGGGGGGCATAAATAAAATACATTAATATGTGAAAACATATGGGCTTCAAATGACAAAGATGTAGAAAGGCTCTTTTAGAGCATTGCTTGGGTATTTTTATTGTAATAAAGAATTGCAAAGTGGGAATTTCTTTAGTCTTCAGAGGCTTGTTTGGTCTTTTTGTCCCTGTTTGGCTTTCTACCATCAGTGGGTCTTTATCCTGAGAGACTCCAGAGGGATTAGGAGCTCACAGTTACCAAAGCAGTGAAAGACCGATGGAAAAGGGCAGGGGTTTCAATGCAGAATGAGTTTGGTGACTAATATCCAAATCAAAATCTTCACTGGAAACATGCAGTGGGGTCTTCTGTAAGAATTTTGCACCCTTGGCTTTTCATGTAAGAGCTGCAAACAGATGAAATAGAGCTTTAGACCAAGTGTGTGATAGGCAGGAGCCCCGGTTATATGACTATTGCCTGTTTTCTGTGTAGAAACTATTTTGTTTCCCCATTTTTAGTATGTTTTACCCAAGTTGAGGGTATTTCCAGTGAAAGAGCATTTCTTTGAAGAATCCCTGATGAGCTTTACTTTGCTTGATGCCTTTAAATGAAACAGCTATTAACAGGGGCAGAATTTTCTGTAAACTATAAATTGCTGTGACCCCATCCCCAAGATGTGGATTTTTCATCTCTGCACCTCCATTTTTATCTAAACTGCTCCTCATTATGACACTGGCAGTTTGAAATGGTCAGGTAAGATCATTCTGGACTGAAAAAAATCATGTCCACTGAAGGTATATGAAATATCCCTTTTGCAGGGAAAAATATGACATGATTGCACATGATCGTATGTAGATATTCCCTAGGTTTATAATCCCAAGCATTCAGGAGGAAGCAGAACTCTTTGTCAGCATTAACATTGGGAAGTTTGATTCAGATAAAAGATGTCGTATTTCAACTTGCCAGGTGGGGGTCTTTAAAAAGGAATTGCAAGAGAAATCTGTTATATTTGATCTAGGCTTTAAACCATTTAAACATAGAGACTTGTCTAGGCACATACACACACTGAGTCTGTAGCTCTGAGTGTGACAGGAGAGGGGTTTGCAGCGTGAGCTCACATGTACTTCACATGTTTAGAAGCACACCACAATTGAGAGGCTGTTGTCCTCTTCTCTCAATTTCCTTTTTCCTACTTTATCCTGCTTTCTTTCCTCTTTTCCTTTCTTCCTTTCTTTCTTTTTATTTTTCTCTCCCTTCCTTCCTTCCTTCCTTCCTTCCTTCCTTCCTTCCTTCCTTCCTTCCTTCCTTCCTTCCTTCCTTCCTTCCTTCCTTCCTTCCTTCCTTCCTTCCTTCCTTCCTTCCTTCCTTCCTTCCTTCCTTCCTCCCTTCCTTCCTCCCTTCCTCCCTTCCTCCCTTCCTTCCTTCCCTCTTTCTCTCTTTCTTTCTCTCTTTCTTTCTCTTTTTCTTTTCTCTTTTCTTCTTTTCTTTCTTCTTTTTCTTTCTTTCTCTTTTCCCTCTTTTTCCCTCTTTTTCCTCCCTTTCTCTTTCCCTTTCCCTTTCCATTTCCCTTTCCCCTTCCTTTCCTTTCCTTCTTTCCTCTCCCTTATTCCTTTCCCTTTCCCCTTTCCCTTTTCTTTCCCGTTCAGTTTCCCCTTTCCCTTTCCTTTCCCGTTCAGTTTCCCCTTTCCCTTTCCGTTTCCCCTTTCCCTTTGCCCTTCCTTTTCCCCTTCCCGTTCCCGACGCAGATCTCCATTACATACATCTCCATTACATACTCTCTCCAAACGGGACCGACGTTCCCTTCCCACCGCCGCTGTCAGAGCCGCAGTGACAGCTCTACCGTCGGTCCCTCCGCAGCCCGCAGGGACTCGGCCCCGCCGCCCGGGTCCGCTGTGCGGTGCGCGGTGCTCCGCGCTACCTGCGCGCCCGTCCCGGGACGCGGGGCAGCCCGGCAGGGGGCGCCCTTTGCCCGTCGGCGGGGCTGGACCCCGGTACCGGAGGATCGGGTCCGACCGGGACCCGGAGCCCTGGAACCCCAAGCCGCTGCTCGACGTGTCCGGCCGGGCCTTGTCCTGCGATAGCGGGCGTGGGGCGGAGGAGCTCCGTGGTGAGGCCCGACCCGCAGCCCCCCGCAAAGTCGTTCTTGCCCGGGCTGCCGCCAGGGCCGGGCATCCCGGCTGAGCGCGGTCCCCGACGCCGGCGGCTTTTGTTACCGGCGGTGCGGGGCGGGAGGGTTGCGGGGGGCGGCGCGGGGGGCGAGGGGAGGTTTTGTGGCCGGACCGGCGCGGTCCGCGCCATTCGCCTCCAGCCGCTCCCGCGGTGCTTCGGGCAGAGCCGGGATCCCTTTGTGCTAATAGCCCCGTCCCCATTTGCCGCCTAATTGGACTATATAAAGGCAATAACGGGCGGGCGCTGGCAGCCGCCAGCCACGGCAGCACGTCGCGGGGAGCGGCGGGGAGGGGGGGGGGGGGGAACCCGGGGCCGCGGTGGCTGCGGGCAGGGGCTGCGCGGAGCCTTCTCCTCCCGTCCGCCTCCCCGCCTAATCCCATTTGCCATTGTGCGTGCCCAATCGCCGTGTGCTCCCCGCGCTTAACTTGGATGACATTTTGATTTCATCATTAGCATCCGGCGCCAGGTTGACGCAGCAGCAGCGGCGGCGGGAGGCGGCGGCAGCGACGACCCCGGCTCTCCGCCTGCCCGCAGCAGCCCCCCGGTGCCGCGGGCTGCGCGGGTCCCCTCGGCCCCCCGCCCTGCCTTCCCCCCATGCGAGGGGCCCCCGGCCGGCCCCGCCGCCGCACTCCCCCGCCGCCCCGCTGCGCCTCTCCCCGGGAGCCGCCACCTGCGCGCCGGGCGCGGGCTGCGGGGCCAGCGGCGGGCAGGAGCCGGGCGGGCACCGGAGGATGCCGGAGACCGGGCAGGAGCCCCCCAGCGCCCCGCCGCCGCCCCCCAAGGAGTCTTTTTACATCAAGAACCTGCTCAACGGCGGCCCCCCCAAAGCTCCCCCCAAGCAGCCGCGGGCGCTGTTCGCCCCCCCGGGGAAAGCGGCGGGGGACGGCGCCGGTTTCGCCCTCTCGCAGGTGGGAGACCTCGCTTTTCCCCGCTTCGAGATCCCGGCGCCGCGCTTCGCCCTGAGCGCCCACTGCCTGGAGCGGGCTCAGACCTGGTGGTACCCTTACGCCCTGACGCCGGCCGGAGCCCACCTGCCCCGCACGGAAGGTACCGATCCCCCTCTTTCCACCCCTCCATCCCTTCCGGCGGGGCGGCACGGGGGTCCGGCCGGCTCAACCCGCTTTCCCCGACGGGAATCGAGGGCCGGGCGCTGAAGGTGTCTCTTTGTGTCCCTTATTCCCATTCCTCTCCCCTTCCCCCGTCCTTCCCCTCCAGCCGCGGAGAAATCCCTGCTGAGGGACTCGTCCCCCGCTTCGGGCACCGACCGGGACTCGCCGGAGCCGCTGCTGAAGGCGGAAGGGGAGCAAAAGGAGCTGGACTCCAAGAGCCCTGACGAGATCGTCCTGGAGGAGAGCGACTCGGAAGAGGCGAAGAAAGAAGGGACGGCGGAGGACTGGAAGAAGAGGGAGGAGAGCCCGGAGAAGAAGCCGTGCCGCAAGAAGAAGACGCGCACGGTGTTCAGCCGCAGCCAGGTCTTCCAGCTGGAGTCCACCTTCGACATGAAGCGCTACTTGAGCAGCTCGGAGCGGGCCGGCCTGGCCGCTTCCCTCCACCTGACAGAGACCCAGGTGAAGATTTGGTTCCAGAACCGTCGGAACAAGTGGAAACGGCAACTTGCGGCCGAGCTGGAGGCGGCCAACCTCAGCCACGCCGCCGCGCAGCGCATCGTCCGCGTCCCCATCCTCTACCACGAGAACTCGGGCGCGGAGGGGAGCGCGGGCGGCGGCGGAGCCCCCGGTACTCAGCCCCTGCTCACCTTCCCTCACCCCGTCTACTATTCCCACCCCGTGGTCACCTCCGTGCCGCTCCTGCGGCCCGTCTGAGCCCGCCCGCCCGCCGCCGCTGCGCGGAGGGGCGCGGAGGGGCTCGCAAAGTCACCGGCCCACTTGTAAGTACTCCAGCCGCTTGTGCGGTTCACCCGGCCGGCGGCTGCGGAGCGGGATGGGGAGGGGGGGGAAGAGAAGGGTGCGGGAGGGGACACACACAACGCGACACCCCTCGGCGGTGGTGCTGGGAGAAAAGTCACGAAAAATGAGGAAAATAAAGCTAAAATAATCAATAAAATTGGAAGGGGAGGGGAGGGAGGGTGGAAAATAAGGAAAGTGAAAGCGGGAACTTGTAGAGGACCCTGGAGCTGTCACACCTTTTGTAAACGTGGACGAAAACCGCGATGGTCTCTGTGGCTTTAGTTTTATTTTTGTAAAAAATTTAAAAATAAGGAAAAAAAAAAGGAAAAAATGAATAATAGTGGAAAAAAAAAAAATGATCGTGATCCCAGGCAGCTCCTCGGCATTTGCCAAACGCTCACGGGAGGGTGAATTTCTGTTCCTTTCGGACCTCTCCTCCTGCCTCCAAATTGGTCAGGCTCCTGCTCCTGTCGCGACACAGCCATCACCGAGCGCGGCTTTTCGTTCCAGCAAACCCCGGCACCGAGTTTTGCTTTCCCAGGTTTTGTACCTTTCGGTTTCTGTCATGGGACTTGATAACGAGCAAAGAAACGCGGCCTCAAAGCGAACGGTTAAAACGCCCCCGAACGCGTTTGAGCGCCCCTTATTTATTACCGATGACTTGGATATTTGGAATTCTTGTTTTCTTTAGTCTTCCGGTTGATTTATTTTTGTTTCCTTGTAAAGTTATTTGGGTATTTTTGGGGGGTAAAAATCTGTACCTTTTGCTTTCTTTTTGTATAATGATTATCATTATTATTGTTCTTGTACCTTTGAACTGTGCAATATTGTACGACGATTCGTAAAGCACTGCTTTTATTTGAACGGTGAGGAAAGGGGGGTTTAGCGTTGTATAATTGCGTTCGTTCGTGTTGTACAAAATAAACTGAAAAGCAAAAACCAGAATACAAAGGAATTAAAAGCGAAGGGAAGTGGGAAGAGAGGAGGAGGGCATGGGAATAACCATCAGCTTATGCGGATAAATAAGGGAGATGGGGTGAGCTGGGCGCTTTAAGTGAAGGACAATCAACTTTAGGGTAATTTTAATTTATTTGCTAGGATGTACAGTTTTCTCCTGAAGTCCATCGTGGGGTTTCCTAAGGCAGAAATGAAGCTAGGAGTGGACACCTCTTGTCTCTCCCTGTCTCAGTGTCTGCTCACTTGTTGTCTGACAATTGTTTGCTGTCTTCCCAAGGGTTGGCGTCGGTTTCTTTCCTTTCTTTTTCGTTCAGTTCTTTCCGTTTGTTTCCCCTTTTCGGTTGTGCTCTCTGCCCCCTTCTCGCTTTCTGTTAGGGATCGGTCCTATTTTTAAAACAGCCTATATTGTTATAAACTCAATGTTGTGGTGGAAAAGAAAATCATCAATAAAACCCGTTCCTTATCA